TATCCATCACTAAGACTCACACACAATACGTCCACAAAATGACACATTCACCCACAAGTGGTTAAATAGTTTTACACATTTGCAAGTTTTAACCATTTTGGTTAAATGTATTTACCCAAAAATTTGAGGAGCAATTGTTAGTACTAAAACCATATAACAGTGTATTGTTTTTCACAGCAATTTTCACTGCAAAAAGTGACAAATGGGTCCGACTGTAAAAAATGTGTATAAATTATATATCCCTTCCTCTTATCATATAATCATAATTGCATTTAAAATATTACATATAAATAGTAAGTCGTTTGGAAAATAAATTATTTTGCGATAAATATCTAACAGTTTTAAAGACGAGTGAAGAGAATAAGTGGAATAATAATAAGAAAAAGACTTTATTTTTGTTGAATGAATGAACAAAATAAATGAATAATAACTTTAATACTCTTTTCAGATATTAATCTCTAATTCCTTAATANTGGTCACTCTAGCACCAGTACTTTTACCAAAGCAATCCATAACCTATTATCCAGAATCGGTCCATATTTGCCTAAACTAACCCACAACAACAACTCTCAAATAAATCACATCAAACCCTTTCTAACGGTTCTATATTCACAGGACTGGATGAGAAGGCATTTAAAAACCACACCACAAGAGCTTCAACTCTTCACTTAGTGTTAAACCAAATAAATTGTTAACCAACCCAGTTATATTGTTAACCACAGTGTATATCCTAATAAACATTATCACCAAAGCGCTTCCAGCAGTAGTTACGCTCAACTGATCTCAAGACTACCGGTTAAGTATAAATTGGTAACAGCTTATCACACAAGCGATTCCCGACTTCACAACCCTTTGTTTACAACACTATTTGTTTCTAACTGTGTGACCATCGGTTACCGTTTGTTCAACAAACGCCGAATAATAATATCGCCACCGCTTAGCAGCGATACAGCACACGAGGTTACGACAATTTACATAAGATATATAAAGCATAACATTTTGGTGAATGTCAATTAATTCTGACTGATTAGTCATTCATATAAGAAAAACTATTTTTCAATGCTATACACAGTAGTGAATGTTTACAAACAGGGTTATAACTTTCCCGCTTCTGGCCATTGTCACATTTTAACACTTGACTATTGATCAGACATCCATATGAGATCTAGGTACATCAAGAAACTAACAAATTTCCCGATTTAACGTTATATAGAGAATATGTTGAGACATTTTATGTAAAATTACAATATTATCACAATATCAACGCTTCCAGAGTAGCAGTTATTGAAACATTCTTTTTTGTATTGAAGACCAATATTTGATAGTATATAATCAAATGACGTGTTTTAAATATTTATAAATTACTTTCGTGCCTCAGCCACGAGGTCTGCGAAGGGCTGTTCCCAGGAATACATTTTGATGACTCGCATACCGGATATGATCTCAACCATATGCCGGAGCCGATTGTCAGTGAGCTTAGCCGTCAGTAGTCTAAGTAATTAATAGAATGAATGGATTTGATCAATTTAGTGGCTTATTTTATGAAAAAAATATATTTATAACGTGCACAAACCTAACTTTTGAAAACATTTTGCCCATGAACAATTGAAATACAATCAGTAAAATTATTAAACCAACTGGCACCAAACTGGCCCATCCCATATATGTGTACATTATATATATAATGATAACCGTCTGAATGGGTGCTATTATAAAATAACTGGCGAACAATCCACACTAAAATTAAGTAATTATCATAATACTATTAGGTATAATTAGTACTTGGCAAATTGGAGTAATTATATACCCCTTCAAATCGATTTACATCGTTGGACATTAGGTTTATAATTTGACCCGTATTTGCCTTTTCCAGTGATAGCTGGTTTAATTTGAGCGACTATTTATAAGATTATATAATTAAATTATACTTCAGCTATAAATATATTTTTAAAATAAATAACCTTTTTATATATTAGGGTACAGCAGGCACTACGGGCCCGCATTCCCAGTTGCGTAAAACGGTTTAAGATGGTATAAAACAAAATCGCATACAATATGGTGCATAGACACACACCTCCGGCCGCAACACAAGCATGGTCATATGTAATAAGCACAGCGCCAGCAAAATAATCAATAACATATCCGAGCATTAAAGACTGTACCATTCGGACCGTACACTCCTATATTTTATAAAATAAATATTTATAAAATATTTTGACTATACTTAAATCTATTTCAAAAATAACTGTTTATGGATTAGGATATTATGACAATTTACTAAATAACTCACGATAAATAAAAGCAACAAAAATGGTAAAATATGGTATTTAGCAAACGTTTTAAATAAAGCAATATACAATCTTGGTGTTTGTTTCTTTAGTTCAATGTCCCAATTTCTACATTTAAAAATGTTAATTAAAATAAAGTAATTATAATACTATCTTTTTAACATATTCTTTAAAAATAATATAATGCTTATTACAAAATGAAATAAATAATATTTGTGTGCAAAACCTCTCTAAACATTGAACCAAATACTCGGAGGCGTCGTATTGTGAGCACCGATACATGTCTTCAAAATCCAAACAATTATTTTAATTTTTGTTTAATTGTACAATGAATAATTATTTAAAATTGTTTAAATAAATAAATTATTTATGAAAATTTTGTTAACTAGGTGGATGTACCCATTATTTGTAAAGTGTTTGCGGAATAATCGTTTGGATTTTGAAGACATGTATCGGTGCTCACAATACGACGCCTCCGAGTATTTGGTTCAATGTTTAGAGAGGTTTTGCACACAAATATTATTTATTTCATTTTGTAATAAGCATTATATTATTTTTAAAGAATATGTTAAAAAGATAGTATTATAATTACTTTATTTTAATTAACATTTTTAAATGTAGAAATTGGGACATTGAACTAAAGAAACAAACACCAAGATTGTATATTGCTTTATTTAAAACGTTTGCTAAATACCATATTTTACCATTTTTGTTGCTTTTATTTATCGTGAGTTATTTAGTAAATTGTCATAATATCCTAATCCATAAACAGTTATTTTTGAAATAGATTTAAGTATAGTCAAAATATTTTATAAATATTTATTTTATAAAATATAGGAGTGTACGGTCCGAATGGTACAGTCTTTAATGCTCGGATATGTTATTGATTATTTTGCTGGCGCTGTGCTTATTACATATGACCATGCTTGTGTTGCGGCCGGAGGTGTGTGTCTATGCACCATATTGTATGCGATTTTGTTTTATACCATCTTAAACCGTTTTACGCAACTGGGAATGCGGGCCCGTAGTGCCTGCTGTACCCTAATATATAAAAAGGTTATTTATTTTAAAAATATATTTATAGCTGAAGTATAATTTAATTATATAATCTTATAAATAGTCGCTCAAATTAAACCAGCTATCACTGGAAAAGGCAAATACGGGTCAAATTATAAACCTAATGTCCAACGATGTAAATCGATTTGAAGGGGTATATAATTACTCCAATTTGCCAAGTACTAATTATACCTAATAGTATTATGATAATTACTTAATTTTAGTGTGGATTGTTCGCCAGTTATTTTATAATAGCACCCATTCAGACGGTTATCATTATATATATAATGTACACATATATGGGATGGGCCAGTTTGGTGCCAGTTGGTTTAATAATTTTACTGATTGTATTTCAATTGTTCATGGGCAAAATGTTTTCAAAAGTTAGGTTTGTGCACGTTATAAATATATTTTTTTCATAAAATAAGCCACTAAATTGATCAAATCCATTCATTCTATTAATTACTTAGACTACTGACGGCTAAGCTCACTGACAATCGGCTCCGGCATATGGTTGAGATCATATCCGGTATGCGAGTCATCAAAATGTATTCCTGGGAACAGCCCTTCGCAGACCTCGTGGCTGAGGCACGAAAGTAATTTATAAATATTTAAAACACGTCATTTGATTATATACTATCAAATATTGGTCTTCAATACAAAAAAGAATGTTTCAATAACTGCTACTCTGGAAGCGTTGATATTGTGATAATATTGTAATTTTACATAAAATGTCTCAACATATTCTCTATATAACGTTAAATCGGGAAATTTGTTAGTTTCTTGATGTACCTAGATCTCATATGGATGTCTGATCAATAGTCAAGTGTTAAAATGTGACAATGGCCAGAAGCGGGAAAGTTATAACCCTGTTTGTAAACATTCACTACTGTGTATAGCATTGAAAAATAGTTTTTCTTATATGAATGACTAATCAGTCAGAATTAATTGACATTCACCAAAATGTTATGCTTTATATATCTTATGTAAATTGTCGTAACCTCGTGTGCTGTATCGCTGCTAAGCGGTGGCGATATTATTATTCGGCGTTTGTTGAACAAACGGTAACCGATGGTCACACAGTTAGAAACAAATAGTGTTGTAAACAAAGGGTTGTGAAGTCGGGAATCGCTTGTGTGATAAGCTGTTACCAATTTATACTTAACCGGTAGTCTTGAGATCAGTTGAGCGTAACTACTGCTGGAAGCGCTTTGGTGATAATGTTTATTAGGATATACACTGTGGTTAACAATATAACTGGGTTGGTTAACAATTTATTTGGTTTAACACTAAGTGAAGAGTTGAAGCTCTTGTGGTGTGGTTTTTAAATGCCTTCTCATCCAGTCCTGTGAATATAGAACCGTTAGAAAGGGTTTGATGTGATTTATTTGAGAGTTGTTGTTGTGGGTTAGTTTAGGCAAATATGGACCGATTCTGGATAATAGGTTATGGATTGCTTTGGTAAAAGTACTGGTGCTAGAGTGACCAACTGTACAGGTTTGGCATGTAGAGTACAAGTTTTGGACAATCTGTTTAGTGTACAGGCATGAGTCTCGCCTGTACTATATAATGTCCAGGTGAGAAATTGATAAAAATTAGATCAAAGTATTATACATTTATAGCAATATTATTGGTTTTCAATCTAAATTATGCAATTTTCTTTTAATTTTGTCAAAATTGTAGTTTAAATACGTTTATATTTTTAATTTAAATTAATTTGTCTCGTTATAATATATTCAAGCTATCTGTACAAGAATGCGATGTATGGTTTGTACAAATTATGATTATATATAATTACACTCTGTTGGGAAAATTAATCCAGGTGAGAGTACAGGGAAGTTTACTAAAATGTACAGGAATGTCTCGGAATATATGATGAAAGTATAGGAAATGTACAGGTTTTTTATTTTTTGAGTTGGTCACTCTAACTGGTGCCTGAATTCCTGGAAAGCGGATTAGTTTGAGAACAGTTGAGGGGCAATAAGTACAAAAGACCTAGCGGTTACATGAAAATGTTTACAACATCTAGCCAAGTCACAAAATTAACCTAATTGCCATTTCACTATACCGATTTTCTTATTAATTGTTTTATTCCAATTTTATTACTTCAAATGTTCCGGAGAAGCAGTCGATGACTCTATCATTTTGATTTAGATTGATATATAATTTTCAATACTATTAGACAGGAAGTGGCGTGCATTCAAAGGTTTTGCTTTCTAAAAGCAATTAATATGTCGTTGTATAGTATGGCATCCAAATTGATCTTATTTATCAGTTTTATCACCTTGGTACTCACCGGTAATGTACTGACCGCTAAGACTGTATTTGTGTCAACGATGCTATTTGCTAGCGTAAAAGGCAATATGACCTTGTACTTCCCACAATCAATCGCCTTTGGTGCAGAGTTATTAGTTTCTTGCAATAGAATACAAGTAATATTGATCATGTTGTAAAAGTTATATAATAAAAATATTTAATATTGTTGCAGAAATTTTTGCAATTCGGAGAAACACAAATAAAATCTTTTCAAAACACAACTAAATTATCTAAAAGTAAAACAAATAATAAACAATTGCCCGAAGTATCCATTAATGACATAACAGCCAAATGGAGTGATGTATGAAATAATACTTTGTAATAATGTTTTTTATAATTTATAAATTATTTACAGGAAAGTCCGTATCCAACGCTTCAGAGCATTTCAGCTCATTTAAAACCCGGTGACTTATTAGCTGTGATCGGACCCGTGGGGGCCGGAAAGGTATGCATACAATTAGATTATAGTTAAAATACAAATTATTAATTTTATATTTAGAGCTCATTATTGATGACAATCCTTAACGAACTGCCGCTTCTGTCGGGGAGTATAGAAACTGTGGGATCGATAAGCTATGCCTGTCAGGAGTCCTGGAGTTTCAATAATAGTGTTCAAAATAATATACTTTTTGGAGCCGAATATAATGAATCCCGATATAAGCGAGTGGTAGAGGTGTGCGCTTTGGAACGAGACTTTGAGATATTTCCGTTCGGAGACAAGACATTAGTCGGTGAGAGAGGGGTATCGCTATCGGGGGGACAGAAGGCCCGCATCACGTTAGCCAGGTTTGTGTATTGCATTTAAAACTATTACATATTATTTATTGTCCGCATTATCTTTAGTTAATGTCATAAAATAAGTTTTATTACAAATAAAAAATATAAAAATAATGGTCCATGAACTCCAATGCCACTTGATATTTATTACCAAACAAACCATAATCTTTGCCTACTTTAATAAAAAATTGCAGTTTTAAAATAATAAAATACATAAGTTAAGAAAAAGGATTTGGAAATTATGAATAACATTATTATAATAAATATCCATAATAAATTACCTGAAATTATTTTTTTATAATTTAAATTAGTGGATTCCAATCTAACTTGTAGTTGAAATTGTTATCGATAATAAAATTAATTCTCACAGACTCACAGTAAGTGGAGTTCAAAACTACTATAGGTATAAATTAATTGACATAAACGACAATGTTCAAATCTGGTCACGGTGCAACCGGGAATTATTATTATAAAAAGAAAGTACATTAAAATAGGAAATGACTAATATATTTATTATGGTTCGATGACCTCGGGTGTGGCCGCAGTGACCACTTTTATCGGGGAAAATTTGAATATCAAATCTTGTTTTCTATAAATAAGTATATCATATTATATATCAATGGATAGGTATGGATGAGGGGAATAATATTCTAAAAGAATTTCCCAATTCCGACGTAATCGGCAAAGTTATACCAAAATTAAGAAATTCACTATTAATTTTGTACGTTATTTATGATTTTGTGGGTTCTAATTTTAGTTCAATTATATGAATATTAATTATAATTAAAATGTTAATTATTATTGTAAATAAAATAAATAATTTTATTTTAAATTTTTGGCCATTTATGCATTAAAATTGAACTTGGTCCTTTATCAAAATTTTTTCTTTAATTGAGTTATACTAACAATTATTTTTAATTTTTGTGTTATATGTAGAGCTCTGTACCGGAACTCAGACATCGTATTAATGGACGACCCGTTGAGTGCTGTCGACACTAGTGTTGCCGAACATATATTTGATAAGTAATGCAATGATTGTTATAATTATGATTACAAATAAGTCTAACATATAATGTATTCGCGATATAATGAACACCAGATGTATAGTCGACTACTTGTGCGACAAAATCCGTATTCTAGTCACACATCAAATCCAATTCATACGAAAAGCGACACAAATATTGGTTTTGAACGACGAGGGAAAGTGTCTGGGATTGGGATCCTATGATGAGCTCCAGTCCCGGGGCTTAGACTTCATGTCTATTCTCAGCGATCAGGAGAGGGAAGCGGACGATAAGGCAGAGCAGAATAGGGAGGACAGCCACGGCATTAAAATAAAATCCCAGAACACTTTAGTGTCAGAGAATTTGCCGATTAATGTAATAACATTTTACAGAAAATGAACTTTTAATAAAATGTATATTTCTCTAAGTATGAAAATCAAAACAACAAACTAACAATATCTGAAGAGTTTCGAGAGACGGGTACAATATCTGGCAAAGTATATTGCATGTTTATTACGGCAGGCGCTAAACCGTTTCTATTTTGTACTACGCTAATATTTACAATCGTTGCTCAAGCTATTTCTCATGGATCAGACTATTTTCTAACACAATGGTAAGTAAATGGAATTTATTGAGCATGTGTAATTCAAAATATTCATTTTTACAACAGGACTAACAACAATCAAAACACAAATAACATTAACACTTTTGATCAGAACAGAGATGTGATTATCTACTCTTCAATGATGGCCGCGCTGTTCATCGCATCCCTATTGAGAGCCATCACATGGTTTGTGATGTTTATGAGGGCTTCAGTTAATCTCCACAACACTATATTCTACCGTCTATTACGGGCTCCGATATCTGTGTTTGACAGCAACCCAGTTGGTTTGTTATTTATTGCATTAATTACTCGAATTAATAATATTTATTATAATCAATAGGTCGGATATTAAATAGGTTTTCAAAAGATGTTGGTACAATCGATGAACAACTGCCAAGTACAGCGTTTAACCTAAACTTGGTAATTAATTATTTTGCATAACAAATAAGTTTGAATTTCCTCTAAATTAATTATCTTTTATTATCATTTTGGTTGCTTAGAGTCTGACTCAAAGTATCGGTGAAATAATAATTATCGCGATCGTTAATCCATACATGATTATACCAACAATTATCATTATAATAATAGTTTTAGCTACCAGGTCTATTTACATTAAAGCAGCTAGGGATATTAAACGGATCGAAGGTTTAAGTACGTTTTATTAAGAATAAGGCTTGCAAACAATTTCTGCCTTAACCCCAATTCGAGGAATGTATCAAATTTTAAAAATCAATTTTAATTGTTTGAACACATCTAATATTGTTATTTTTATAATTTCAAAAGTATAAAACAACAATTCTTTTCCCAATTGTTAGATTCGCTAAACAGTCTTTATAATAAATGTATTATAGCACGGGATGAGAATTCCATTGAAATATTCAAACATAAAAATCTAATGGATGTTTAATTTAGTCTAACATTTGAAAGGTTACCCTAAATTATTATAAAAATGTGAAATTTTCACATGTTTTTAATATTTTAAATTTGATACTTTAATGCTTTAACAGTTAATATATAATTAGCATATTAACTGAAAGATTTATTTTTTAAAATAGCTTGGAAATATTGAATTGTTTTGAAATTTAATAAAAGTTCCTCCTACCGTATTACCCCGCTTATAGGTGCATGCACTTATAAGTGAATTTCACAGATTTTGAATGTCACCAAAACTACCGCACCTATATCCGGATATAAGTGCGCCCCTTGTGTAAAAATCACATATAAGTGCGCTAATATTTATTTGTTAAAATTATTTATAAAAATTTAATAAATTAATGCATAAATGATAGATTATTTAATAATTTAAGATAAATCTTTAAATTCTTCAAGAATTCCATTCATCTGATCTTTGGCCGCTGAATAATCAATGATAACTTCAGATTCCATTATATGAAATATTTCACATTAATGTACTCATTATTTATGAATAGGGCAGCAAATGCATGACTTATTTAATATGCAGACTCACAAAAAATTATAAATTAATCAATGAATGACAAAAACTTTTTCACTCAACTAAGGCTAAACACATATAAAATAATTGTGATAATTATTATTGTCCTTTGAAATAGTGAACATCATTAAGAATTTGCATCTTTTTTGTTCGCCTTATTCATGAAACTCACCAATTGATAATAAAATACATATACATTTTTAACATTTAAAGTAATATTTTAGAGTTCAAAGTTTAATAACAAGTCATACGATTTTGATTTTAAGGCATATGTAAATTTCAATTAAAAGTAAAAATGTGCCAAAAACTACCGCACCTATATCCGGATATAGGTGCACCCCTTGTGTGAAAACTCACATATAAGTGCATGCACCTATAAGCGGGGTAATACGGTAATTCTTGAAAATTATGTACTCTGAAAATATTCTAAGATTCGCAATTACAAAATAAGTAGTGTGGTTTACACACGTGGTTTATAGAATCATATAGGGCATAACGATCCTATAAACCACATTATTCATGGCTAAATTGTGGTTAAAAATAGTAATCACTACAATAATTTATAGGCCGTAGTCCAGTGGTTTCACACGTGAGCACTACATTCAATGGGTTGGCCAGTGTTAGGGCCTTTGGGGCGCAGGAGATGTTTGAAAAACAATTCTACGTCTACCAAGATGATCACTCGGCCACCTGGATGCTCGTCAACACTGCTAGCCGTGCATTTGCTTTATTTACAGACGGATTGTGTTTTCTATATATAACAATAATATTTGTCGTATTTATGGCATTTCCTGATCAGTTGGGAGCTGGAGATGCGGGTCTCGCGTTATCATCAGGTTTATTTTGCATTATACTTTCATTTTTGAGTTGTAATGAACTCTATTCTACATGATTTTTTAAAGCAACGATATGCAACTGTGTACTATTTTTACAATATATACATGTATGTGAATTTATCCATAACATTTTCACTATTTTAAAATTTTGTTAAACTCAATAGCATTTTTCTAATCCATAGCACCAGTAGTTTTATCGCAATAAAGCCATCCCAATTAAAATTAGTAAATTTGGTAAATTTTATAAATCAATGTTTTAAAATGTTAACGGTCATATTGGGTAAAAAACTTGTTTACTAGAATTAATTTTTAACATTGAAATAATTTTACTTTTTACCTATTTTTTTGATACTTTTCATATCTATTAATACCAGTAAATTAATAGCTAGGTACTTATAATTTATAACAAATGTTACAAACATACGGCCTTTCCCCCCACTTTTTTCGTATAAAGGTTACAGTCTGGGCATGGATTGCAGCAAATAGCTGTATCTAAACGCATGCTACAAAAAAATTTTCACACCCTTAAACCACCCAATAACGTTTTTAGCGATGTCCCCTTGACAGATAATTCTATATAATTATATATGATTATTCAATATTTACCTTTAATTTATTTATAAAATAATTACCTATACAAATATTCTGAATGTTAGTTGTTTTAACTCGATATCTCCCCTTATTGAAAATAAAATATTAATAAGAGATTTTACATAGAAATACAATTTTAGTGTGGCTTAGTGAGAAGGTTCTGCGATCATAGGAACTAAGATGCGACAAAATGCATTCATAGCCGCAATTCTTAACTTGAGATTACAATTGTCGCACAATTTGATCACATGACATCACTCCCAAACCCTTCGTACGATCAATGCATTCATCATAACATTGCAAACCAAAAATAAACAAATATTTTCGTAAATATTTACGACAGCTATTGAGGTGTCGTAAATGTGTTAATTATTGTAATAATTATTCGTTTTTATATATTTTAGACTATATATACACAGTTTGTACACAGAATTAAATAATTGTAGCATAAATAACAGTTATTATTATTAATATATTCATTATGAAATGTTGTGTGAATAACAATGTGTTAGCATAATGGCATACGTTGTTTATGTACACTATGTTTTGTTATTTGGTTATGCTGTTGCTATGGTATTAAATAACTCTGCGATTTCTAGTAAAGTCTACGATAATGCTAAAATGTTTAGTAATATGCGATCGAATCTTTATCGCAGAGCATCGTAGTCGTAAGATACGATTTGCAACATACGATATTGATAGTAAAACGCCTGCCTGGCCATAACGGCCAATAAGTCAAAAAACATTTTAAAATTAATTCTAATATATTAAATTCCCATAATTACCCAAAGAGTAGTAAAATAATCATACACAAATAATAAATATTTTCGATAATTAAGCTTAAATTATTTCATTACTAATTAAAAACAACTCATTGATATTCATTTAACAAATAATTAGGCCTAATGTTAATGGGATTGACTAATTGGGCGGTCCGACAGTCGGCTGATGTGGAGAGTCAGATGGTGTCAGTCGAGCGCATCATTGAATACTCAAAACTACCACAAGAGGCGGCCCTAACAGCACATGATAGCCGTAAACCCCCTCCCGATTGGCCACAGAAGGGAGAGATAGAGCTCAAGAATATAAGTCTATACTACGAGGGATCAGACAAACCGGTGCTCAAGAACTTGAGTTGTGTTGTAGAGAGTGGAGAGAAAATAGGGATAGTCGGGCGGACGGGCGCCGGCAAGTCGTCCATCATATCAGCGCTGTTTCGTATGGTTGAGCCAAAGGGGGAAATAGTTATGGACGGCATTAACACGGGATCAATAGGTTTGCATGACTTGCGATCAAATGTCTCAATCATACCTCAGGATCCGGTGGTCTTCACGGGAAGTGTCAGAAGAAATTTGGATCCTTTTGGCGAATACAGCGACCAAAGGATATGGAGTGCCTTAGAAGA